TTCTCGTGGTGGCGAGATCAAACGCCGTCTGTTGTGTGCGCTTTAGCACGCCCCTGACCGAGGCCCCCTCCTCGAGCAGCCACGCGACCCCCTTGCGATCGATATTCCCGACGGCAATGAGCAGCGCCGTCATGCCCCCCTGTGCCGCCTGGCTTAGATCAGCACCGCGTCCGTACAGCGCCTTCGCTGCCTCGAGCCTGTATTTCCGAAGCGCTATGTGTAGCGGGGGAGCCATGCCTTGCTGAATCGCACTCGGCGGGCCGTCAACATGGGCCCCTGAATCAACCAGAGCCTCAATCGACGCGATGTCCCCGAACTCGGCCGCCCAGCTCAGGGGCGTGTGGCCGGTCTCGGTGCCCACGTTGGGGTTTGCACCGCCGGCGAGGAGCAGCTTGACGATGGTGGGATGGTGGCTCCGGATGGCATCATACCAGACTGCTATGCCGGATTCGCCTTGCAGGTTTGCGCCATGGTCGATCAGGAAGGAGACGACACGGTCGTGTCCCCGCCGGCACGCCTGGCCCAACGGTGATGTCCGCCACCTGTCTACTAGCGTCGCGTTGACGTCCGCTCCGTGCGCCACGAGGCGCTGTACCGTCACGAGATCACCGCGCTTAGCGGCGTAATGCAGAGCCGTCCAGCCCTCTCCGTCTGTAGCGTTTGGGTCAAAGACTCTCTGGGCCAGGTGCGTGATATTCTGGGACGGCGTGGGCTTGCCACGAAAGCTGTGTAAGTACCAGGCCCAGGCGGCGTAGGAGAGGAAAGGGTAGACATGCGCGTCGGGTGGAATATCCTCAAATGGGCTGAGGGTGAGATAGCGAAGACATATGCTGGACAAACGAGCCTCCTCAACGGCCGGCTCGCCGAGACCAAGATCTTCTGCCCATTGGTTGGAAATAACAGTGCTCCGAGGTAATTTGGAGAGGTACTCCTTCGCCGAAAAATGGACGAAGTGAACCGTGTGATCTGCCAGCGGCTGGTCGGTTGACATCGACTTCAGCTGTAGGAGGGACCCGCACCTGCCGAGAATCATCTCCTTGACATAGTCTTCATCGACGAAGCCGTCACACCAGGAGTCGGGGAGGTCGTCGTGGGGATACTCTTCAAGCTCTTCACCCGATACAACAAGTGCTTCGGCGAGTTGCTTTACTTGGAGAGGCTCGATGGAAAACAGTGTCCATCGCAGGATCATGACCGCCTGATCCTTCTCGTCGGGGGGGAGCCGAACAATTTTCTCCAGCTCGCAAGAGTACGCCTCGCTGATTCCAGAGGGCATTTCCGCCACCGCCTTGACCAACTGCTTCGCATTCTGCCCCGGCGAGATGGTCTGCTCAAGGAGCTTGATCCAGAGGAACATGCCGTCGCTCCGCTCGGCCGCCTGTGCGGCGATCTTGTGCCGTAGTTCTGCCTTTTTCTTGGGAAGCTTGGTGTTGACCATGTGTTCCGAAAAGGATTCCACGTCGGCCGTGGTGTCCTTGGCCGTTATGCCATATTCCAGCTTCCCGACGCATGATGCCGCTCTGGTTGACCCATCTTTCCCCAGATATTCTCGGATGTCCGGCACGTCTCTACTAACCACCAGGACCCGTGACTTGGTTTTTGCCAGGTTTTTAACTAAGTCTCGGAGAAAGAGATTTCTCGGGTCACCATGATGATAGCGGGCTCCGGTGTCAATGTCGACGCATTCGTCAAATCCGTCGACGACAAACGTGCACCCATCGACGGCCGAGCCCACGGCGACGAAGAGCTGCCACAAGCCTGAGTGTGTCAATGTCTGATCCCCGTCTCGCGCCTTGTGGACGCTGTCCATGACTGAGACGATGGATTGGTCTTGTCCCAGCATCTGCGCCAGCCAGGATCGCAAGATGGCGTACGGGTCGCGGGTTGCCTGGCTGTCTGCCACACAGAAGAAATACGACAGTGGTGCCTTCTTTCCCTGACTTAGATGCTGGATCACCCGTGCCGACATGAACGTTTTACCAAAGCCAGGTGGGCCGTGAATCCAGAGCAGCTTCGGGTCACCCGACGGGCCCGATTTCCAAAGACGGAATTTATCCAGACTCAGAACCCACTCGCAGGTGCCTTCGTGACGGTACTGAAGTGCCGTTTCATACGTGTTCTTGGTGTCAATACTGTTGATCCAGGCTGAGAGTGATGAACGCTTGGACTGCTCCTCGTTGGACGCGTGGAAGCTCTCGACGCTCTGTCTAATGCTCTGTTTAATGTCCCTGAGAACGTCATCCAGCTGGACACCCACGATCTCATTCTGCACGAGAGACACGAGCTTGTATACAGCATTCTCGTCTTGCTCAATGCGGAGCATGGGCTCTTCAACCATCGTCTTGGCGGTCTTGCCGATGCTTTTCACCGTTCGCTCTGAGGGATTTGGTCAGAATATTTCCTTGTATTTCTGCTGGGACGATTTGAGGATGGCTCACTCAGAGTGCTCTGCGCGTAATATCTGCAAGCATTCGCGAGAAACCGCAATGCGGAGCCGTAGAGCTTGACGAGAGCCGTGGAGAGCTTACTGGTAAGAACGGAAGTCCGGATAAGAACCTTGGCCTCTAGATCGGTATACAGGGCAACGATAGACGAAATGCGCTCGAGGCTCTCGGCCATGGTGCCGAAAGTCTGCGTATCGTTCACTGTCACCTGGAGGAGCATCTTTACGGCCGCCCAGGGAATCGTTGCATGGCCGGGATCGAACTGCACTGCCATGTCGCCCACCTCCTTGAATTTTTCGATCCAGTCGACCACCTTGGCGAGCACGTCACGCACGAGCACTTTATCGCCCGCTTTATTTGTGTAGAGGGTCCATTGCTTCTTGACGCAATCCTGCTTCTTTTGCTCCACCACTTCCACAAGCTCCTGGAGTCGCATATCGGTACGGGTAAACTCGAGGACGTCCTTGTCTTCTGCCGACAAGGTATCAAATGCCGATTCCCATAGACTCGTTGGGGTGCCATCTTTGGCTGTTACCGGGGCTTCCATGTCGGCGTACACTGTCAATGGATATAATAGCGGGCTAGCGTCCCGACAGGTCGTGAGGGGAGAAATGGTGCCCGGAGGTAAGAGGGTTGTTAATTAAGCCTGCTAAATGATGGGTTTTAGTTTTAGAGTGAAGCTTAGAGGTGGAAGGCCAGTTTTGGTAGGGTCGTCCTTTGCGGTTGCTTGTTACACGAGATGGAAGACGACCATGTCTTAATGCCCGATCTCAGCTGGTGTAACATGAACAAGCTTAGGGTTGGGCTTCGTCGTTGGGCTTCGCAACCTTGACTTTTCTGCACCGGTCTTACATTCTTATCACTTCTCTTTCCTGTTTTTCTTTTCTTCTTTCCTTTTCCCTCTTTATTTCCTTTTTCTGTGTTCTTTGTTTCTTTGCTGCTTCGTTTTTTCTGACGGGAACCTTTTCGTTTGCGCACCACAGCCACCTACGGAGCGCCTGAGTTGGAGGCCGTAAATGTTGATACGCCTTGCCACGGGTTGTGACTAGTTGAGACTGCATGACCCCAGCCCCTTCAGGGAAGCTGAACAACTTCCCACCTTTAGTAACTCGGCCTATGAAACGCCATGTCAGGGATTCAATCCCCTCTGCTCAGCACCACTCACTGCATAAGCCTCAAAAAACTTTCAGTTCACCAGAGAGTCCGGGGCAGGCTAGCTTGCCTAGGTAATTGTGCACTGCCTCGGTACAGCCGTCTTAGCCCCAGAAGATTTTATCGGCATGCAGCAGATTATGAATCGTAATGACGGCTGATTGGCACCAAGTACCACCCAGAACAAGGAACGTAATTACAGATGCAGGACCTTTGCTTTCATCATGGGCTGCCTCGGGCGGTCGATTTGCGGTGTTTCTCTGGTATCGGATATGACCGGTGGGTGTTTTACCATGTAATTATACTGCTACGGACGGCTTGAATAGGGGGCAGCGGAGCAATAAATGGACTTCTGCAGTCCCGATCACGGCACATGTATTCCAAGCCACAATGGTATTGACCTGGCCGTGTAACGCTTGTTTCCTCGAGGCATTGCAAAACTAACGTGAGTTGGATAATAAGTTGGGAAGGAAGGAACGCTGTCTGCACCATATGCCTTTTACACTTCGAGTATAGGGCCGGTGATGGTCACAAGGGCAATAGCTCGATATCCTCTAGGGTCGCTGTTGGCTCAGGTCTGGGAGAGTAGTGTACATCTACTCATTCGTGAGGCTCAAGCTCGAAATGAGTTTCGTTAGTCGGTAGAGGTATTTGAATTTTGTCACCGCCGTATACTTTTCGGTGGATGGGTGTTGGTGCCTCTTTTCCAGCTTAGAGACAGGAGCAGGAAGGAGAAACGGGCGGAGCGGCGGCGGTTAAGGAGGGTGAGCCATGTTGTCAGACATGGTACGTAAGGTCCGTACTACGTTAAAGCTTGAGGGCTGATAAACGGTGGTTTATGACGGACGTTAATAGTGAGAGCTGCTGATGCTCTGCACGAGATAAAATTCCGTCAGAAACTCATGGAGAGAGTGGACACTTGGAGCACAACCTCGATCCTAAGGTTGCGGGTTGATGTCTGTCGATGACACACACTGTGATAGAATGACCGGCCATTATCGCGACTGACTCTCCGTCTTTCCCGTTGCCCATATCATGGACTGAGCCAACCGAACCATTCGCTCGCTCTTCCCGTCGAGCTCGTTTAGTAAGGTAATTTTACCCACGGCGGTAGATGAACTTCGTTGGTGAATCCCCTTGCCCTTGGCGTAGGTTGTTGACCTTCTGGGGCAGGTAATTACTTACAATTAGCCCCTGATTGGTTATGTTCGATTGGAGTTACTATAACTGAACAGGTGATATGGCCACGGCATCATAGTGATCACCGCGTAACATAGGCCTGGATAATGACTACATCTTTTTGTCTGTAATTACCTTTACTTGGGGGTATGGAGTATCTAATTATGAGGGGCGACGCAAAAGGCCGAAGCGAAACAAGAAGGGGAAGAAATACAGAAACGCCCTTCAATTTCTAATGGGATCCATATAACCCTCCAACATACCAACGACCCCCTCCCTCTTTACGATTTTCTCTTCCACCAACCTTCTCACAACCCTAACAGTCCACCCCTGACAATGCTCCACCACCGCCGCCCGATTTGGTGCGCTCGGCGGCTTCTCCGCCCGGGCAATTTCGTCCACCCTCAACAATTGCGCATCATCCAGATCTTGACTCAGAACTTGGTGCCATGCAAAGTCAGGCGACTCCATCCAGTCGACTCCTTCAGCATGCTCGAAATGCATAAACTCTGCATCGCCTGTGACCTGCCACACCTGCCCTGGCCCAGTGCCGCGAGCGTTGGGGATGTGGGAGAAGAGGGACCAGTGCTTAGGCTCATTCTGAGTTTGGTGTTCGGCAATGACGGTCTGGTAGCGAGTTGGCGGTGGTTCGGATGTCGATGATGGGGTTTCGTCGACGGACACCTCCACCGCGGCCCAGTCGCTGATGGGTTGACCGGTTGCGCGGTCGAGTTTGCGGGTGTGTGAGGTGCCGTCCGAATAAGAAATATATTCTCGCCCATTTCGGACGGCGTGGTGTGTAATAGTGTGGGCGGTCTCGGTTCCGGCCATCTTCATCAGCGTGCTCATTGTTTGTTTTGCGTAGAAGGTTGGCTTGGCAAACAGGGTTTAATTATGTAACTAATCCTAGCAAAACAGAAAAATGCATTTAACGCAGTATCAACCTTGCGCCCTGAACCCTTTCTGACCGTTAAATGCATCAAAAACATACAACACCGGGGACTCCCCAGTCGTCACCGACCTGAGTACCAATCCGGCGGTCAGAAAGTTATCTTTTGGGGTAAGAGGGGTCAAAAAATAGGGGGTTTCGGGATCCAAAAACGGGTGCCTCTTTGCGTTTGTTAGTGCTGTCCGTTTCAAGAAACGGTGAAGCCGGCTGTACCGCAGAACCGTTCAGGCTTGGGCGGCACAGCAGCCAATCAAGCACTGCCATCAGGCACAGACCCGCCGTTAGGCAGCAGGGGAAATGACGAGCTGAGAACGCCCTGCACGATTCGGTTCGCGAGTTGTTACTGGGAATTTGGCTCTTGGTCGCCCACATGTCGGGCAAAGCCGCACGGGCCGCCGTTGCCGCCGAAGTTGACCCCGGGGACGGTCAGGGTTGCAGCCGGTCCGGAAAAAGCCTGGGATGAACTACCTCATCATGCGGGACCAGGTCTTCGAGATCATTGACGACCACTGGGTCACTTTCCACAAATGATTTTCTGACTCCCAGCTCACCCCTTCCCCGCTCCCGAAAGCGACAGCAAGTCCTTTGCTTGCCCTGAGAGCCTGATGCCACACGTGACGCCACTCACCTGCTCGGCGGCCTCCCTCGAGAATGGTCAGCCGCAGACCTGCGCCATCATGAACCACCTTCCACTTTTGCTCCAAGCTATTAGGTCTGACGTTCCTCCGTTCCAGCCTCTGCCACCCCCGATGCCTTCCAACCGACTTCCCCGATTGTCGTTGATGCAAATGCCCTGCCATGAATCCGAAACGAACGTACCAGGATGAAGAACCGTCTGCGAGCCTTCCGAAGCGGCCAAGAACCTTCGACACCGCCTCCAATGGTGGCATTTACCCAAACCACGATGCGTACTCTCCACTTGTGCATGGAGATTACACAATCGCCTGGATCTGTGCACTTCCCTTAGAACTGGCGGCATCGCGTGCCATGCTGGACGAGGAACACCCACTGCCACCCAACCAAGCCGGCGACGACAACACCTACGTGCTCGGACGCATCGATCAGCACAACGTCGTCATGACATGCTTACCGGGACAATACGGAACGAACAACGCCGCAATTGTCGCGACAAACCTGAAGCGCAGTTTTCCGAGCATTCGCGCTACCTTGATGGTCGGCATCGGCGGCGGATCCCCTAGCCAGGCCGACTTGTACCTCGGCGATGTTGTCGTCGGCACGAGGGTCATGCAGTATGACATGGGCAAGATGGTTGCGGGCGGCTTGTTCCAAGAAACGGCCGATGCGAAGACTCCTGCGTGGCTGCTGAACTCGGCTGTGTCCGCTCTACGGTCGAAGCATGGGCCGCACCGTTCCAGCAGTCGAATGACAAGCCTCCTGCGAAGCCGACTCCCGAACATCTTGCGCCCGAACCACCCCGATCGCCTTTTCCAAGCATCCTATGAACACCCTCTAGGGGCGCCAACATGTATTGACTGCGACCCAGAAAAGCTGCAACCACGAGGCGCACGCCTCTCTGACGAACCCAGAATCCACTACGGAGTCATCGCTTCGGGAAACAGGGTTATGAAGGACGGGAAAGGACGGGATGACATTGCTCAGCGACTTTCGGCGCTATGCTTTGAGATGGAGGCAGCCGGCATGATGGATAATCTCCAGTGCTTGCCGATTCGCGGCATTTGCGACTACTCGGATTCCCACAAGAACAAGGAGTGGCAGGACTATTCTGCTGCAACTGCAGCCGCATACGCGAGGGAACTGTTAGAAGGGCTTCCGCCTTCGTCCAGGACACTCGATCGGACTCCCACATACATCACCGATGTGAGCCAGCCCAATACCACCGGTAATACAAACCATTGCCCTGACCCTTCTCTTCTCCTCTGGTATCATGCTGACTAGGGATGCAAGCAGTCGACCATGCTTCGGAACGGCGGCAACGCTTGCTAAAATGCCTTGAATTCCCGCAAATCGATGCCCGCAAAACCACTATTCGGGCTGCACATATCAAAACCTGCCGTTGGCTTCTGCAGCACTCAAAATACCAGTACTGGCTTGACCCTGGGAAGCAATCGCAGGATCATGGCTTCTTATGGATGCGAGGCAAGGCAGGTGCCGGAAAGTCAACCATGATGAAGTTCGTGTACCTGGAAATGAAGAAAGTTTTCAAGAAGCCTAGCATGGCCGTGGCGTCCTTCTTCTTCAATGCACGAGGCGACTATTTGGAAAGGTCTATCTCCGGGATGTACCGGTCTCTGTTACTGCAGCTCCTGCAAGAGTTTTCGGATCTTCAATCTGTCCTAGACAATACGGACATCGTTCCGCTGCACCAACAAGATTGCCCTAACCTGAACGCTCTAAAGGAGCTTCTCAGCAACGCTGTCATGGCCCTTGGCCAGCGCTGCTTTACCTGCTTCGTCGACGCCCTCGACGAGTGTGACGAGCTAGAGGTCCGGGACATGGTCCAGTTCTTCGAGGAGTTGGCAGAGAACGCTACCAACGAAGGCATTCAGTTTCGAATTTGTTTCTCGAGTCGACCATACCCCTACATTGATATTCACCGGGGAATCTTGCTTACCCTTGAGAAGGAATCCGGACACGGAGAAGACCTGACACAGTACGTCAAGAGTCGTCTTAGGATCACGCACCGCCCGCTTCTTGAAGAATTACAATCCCAAATCCTAGATAAAGCTGCTGGGATTTTCATGTGGGTCGTGTTAGTAGTGGAAATCCTGAATAATGAGAGTAGCCACGGCGCCCTCGCTCTCAGAAAGAAGCTTTCGGAAATCCCGGCCGAACTGAGCGAACTCTTCAGGAGCATGCTAGCACGCGATCAACATAGAACTGAATCGCTGCAGCTCTGCATTCTCTGGATTCTCTTCGCAAAGCGGCCTTTGAGCCCAGCAGAGTTCCGCCATGCGCTGTGGGCGGGCTTGTTGGAGCAGCGTCTGGTCGATCCGGAGCTGCCAGATGACATACATATGGATGCCGTCAAACTGGTCACGAGTTCCTCGAAGGGGCTTGCTGAGATCACCAAATCTAAGCAGCCGACCGTGCAGTTCATTCATGAATCAGTGCGGGACTTTTTGGTGAAAGAAAAGGGCATCCAGGATTTGTGGCCTGAACTTGGATTCGACTGGGAGGGTCCTAGCCACGAAATCCTCAAGCGTTGTTGCACTACGTACCTGCATCATCCAAGAGTACAGGCGATCATCGTCGCTCCAGAGGGCGGAGACGACGAACGGAACGCCAAGGCCGAAAAATGCTCGTTCCTAGAGTATGCCGGTCAGCAGGTCCTCTACCACGCCAATGCTGCGGCGCCTGTGGTTCCCCAAGACGGTTTTTTGACCGAATTCTTTGCTTCGGCTGGAATCAGGGTGATCAACCACCTCGAGAAGTTCAAAGCTCGGCGGTACAGCTCCCACGCAACTCCGCTCTATGTTCTAGCAGACAAAGGGCTAGGAAACCTCATTCGCACACAGATGAAAAGAGATCCGGCTACCGACGTTCCTATAGAAAGGTACCAATATCCGCTTTTCGCTGCATTGGCAAACGGCCATAAAAGCGCTATAGCCGCACTTTTGGGCTTGTCATCAACTGTCTACGATGGCGTCGATATCACCGAAGGTTTGAACTACAAGAAGGACTTGAGGGATTACCAAGGTCGGACGCCATTATCGTGGGCTGCCCAGGAGGGTAGACTGGGCATTGTGGAGTTGTTGATTCAAGGAGGGACAAATCTTGACGGAATCGATGGGAAAGGATATACGCCACTCCACCGGGCCTCAGAGAATGGCCACGAGGCGGTCACGCGGCTTCTCATCGACAACGGGGCGGACGTCAACGCTCGGAACAGTTCTGGATCGACGGCACTGCTTT